TATATTAAAGATGTTCGATTTAACATTGATACTCTACTCGAACAGAAAAATAAAACCGATTGTGCCGTGTTATTTAAATTAGGATAAACAGAAAAAGCTGGTCAGATTATAGCAATTTTTCGTACGAAACAACAAATATTTTTGAAAGTCATTCCATTAGATATAACAGAAAAATTATTAGTGACTATCAATAATGAAAAAATACCAGTGACGAACTTAATGATAGGACGATTATTGACGAACAATCAATTGTATTTGAAGCCACAAAATTTGATAGAAAAACTATCAATATACAGTACCGAGCCGGTTTTTTAGATATTTTATCCTTCAGAATCAAAAAGTAAAAGACATAATTTCGAGTAAAAAAGGGTCACCTCTCCATTCGAAACGACCCTGGCTCTCCATTTGCATTTTTCTCTTAAAAGTTCAAATATTATACAATAAAAATGTCATATTGAAATTCAGGGTCAAAAACTGAGTCGACTAACATGTATTTGGAAAGTTTTATTATTTACGGTTATGGCCGGTACTACCGGTCATAACCAACTATAGGTTCACCTTTATTTTTAATTTTCTCCTCGATCATAATAGCTAGAACAACTGTGAAAAAAGATTTGAACAACTAAACGAGTTTGTAATCAGGTGGGGTGCATATGAAAATCCCATTAAAATTTCTGCAAACCAGGTCTGTGGAAAACTAAGAAATCCCAAAAGATCAAGTTTCGCGATTCCAACGGAAACTTTTTGTAAATAGCCCATTTGTATAGAGCAAACATTTCTGAACAAAACTAGGCGTCGCCGAACTCTCCACGACGTTTTTACATCGAACTACATTCAGTTTACGAAAGGCTCCACCACGTCACAATCAGCAAAATCGCTAGAAAAAGAGTAAAAATTATAGTGAAAATGACCGAGGGACCTTTCGTAAAATTGAATGCAGTTCGATGAAAAAACGTGGGATTTTCTAAAATCTTGATTTTCCACAGACCTGGTTTGCAGGAAATGGAATTTTCATATGTACCTCACGTGGTTACAAACTCTTCCAGTTGTTCAAATCTTTTTTCACATTTTTGCTGCTGACTTTAAAAAAAAACGTACAGAATATTAGTTAACGAGTCTGCTGATGTGTGTGTGTGGAAGCGACACAAATATCTCATTTATCATAACCGAAAAGACATACAAAACGATTCAAACAGCGCATCAGACTGTATGAATCGTCATCGTCAATTACATTTGTCACTGTGAGCTGTTATTAATGTACTGTTTTCATTGAATACATCCGACCCTAATGATTTTTCCACTTATGGACCGCAGTAAACTTTATATGCTGATATAGGTGGATATTCGGTTACAAAACTTGCTCTTTCAATATTTGTTCACCTTTTCTATTCCGTCGTATCACTCTGAAGCATGTGTCGTGCACTTTAAATAAATGTCAGTTATCTTCCTTTGTATGCGTCTCTGTATGATGCACTTATTCTGTAGAACGTACAATAAGTGAGTACTTTTGCAATTCGATCCCCACCAGAACACTTTCACCAGTACAACGCTGGTAAACGCATTACGCAAAAGGTATGTATATGAGTGATTTGCAGTTTTATTGTACCGTTCCAGCCCGACATGCAAATATCAAAGTTCTCCCGTCGTTATGGACCGAATTACAAACTTTTTAAACTTTCTACTTTGTCCTCACTACCACAGAAAAACTCATGACTTTATCTCAATCATCAAGAAGAGAGGGATTGAAAGATATTGAACGCGCAAGGTCCGAAAAGCCGTTTTTTAGCACTACCTATCGTCAAGAAATGCTTATCATCCGGTTTGTTCTTTTGTCATTTAAAGTCAGTAATTGAGTCAATTTATAGAAAAAAGCTGGACATTTAGAACATGTGACTAGTTAGCACCTTCGTCGGACTTGTTTTGGTCATTTTTTTGTAAATCTCACACATACAATCATTGTTCGATTTTCGGTCACGCAAGATTAAAAACGATGCTCCCACTGAACGGATTATCTGAAAGTCCTGAGAGAGATCTTGAATGAAAGACGAGATGCGGGACATGAACCCGTCAATAAAAACATGCGAGTCATGTCTTTGAGAGGAAAATCCCAACAAAATTTTGAACTACGATTTTCACACTAAGACGCGAGATTTTTTATTTGCTTTATCTATAGCTGTGTTATTTGTTGACCATTTGAGACGAAACTTTGCGCATTCTATCCACCCATAGGGCTCAACTTCTTGTGAACAGAACAGCGTTCCAGAGTTTACGGTTGGCGAGAAAACTGAGAACTAGTGAAAAATGTCACGTGAGATCAAAAGTGATTCGTATCTCAGCCAAGAGATACCGAGGCCCCACAGCATGTATAAATGTGAAAAACAGGGACAGTTAGCTTGTTCTTCACTTCTAACGATATATTTTTACTAGGTCAACGAAATCGGCATCGATAAGCTACTAAGAAGGCAAATCAGACATTTTTATCTGATTGTTGCCTTAATACGACGACAAAAAAGCTTCTATCTTTGCTTAGCAACTGAGCTGTAACGCAATACGTGCAAGCGAATTTTTCTTTAAAAGATAGCGGCAAACTGATTTTATTTGATTGAATTCAAACATAAAAAGATTCTGTCTGCTCAATCGTTGACGGCGACACTGAAAACGAATTTTTCAATTTATTAGTGAATTTATAAGTGAATTCGATGTCGAAGTACAAACATTCTATTATTAGTAGATAGCTGAGGAGCTACTGATTTTGAATATGTCCTTTCGAATTGCTTAGCATTGCTGAGAGAGCGAAGAATCCCAGCTTTCTATGATGTGTCGTGTTTTACCATATATGTAATGCAGTTTTTGTGCCCTAATTTTTCCTCAAAGGAGTCGATATCAAAATAGACATTTATACACCATTCGATAGAGAATTTGAAGGGCTACATTTTGCATTATTTATTTTTTGAAAATGAGAAACTTCGATTTTTTGCCTAACTTCCGCCTGGATGCCCACTGTGTGCAGTAACCAATACAACTGCGACAGTCCAGCTAGCGGAATGTTAGTTCTAAAAATGACCAGTAACAGAAATGCAGATAAACCGATCTGTTGGATTTTTCGTGTTTGCTTTTTTTGAATCAAAGCCGTAATATTACTACCGGTTTGACAACGCCAGTGCGCTGCGGCCTTTCACGTAAACGATGTCGAGAACGAAAAAAGATAGGTCTGTTTTTAGGAAAATTCGATTGGACAGCTGAATTATCACCAAGCAAAATAGGGAGTTCTACTGATTCAGAAGGGCTGAATTCTTTCGATCGAGGATACACTTGAAAATTTAAAAATTCAAGCTGAGAATCGTGTAAGGGTAATACTAGAACGCTGAATTTTTTTACCGAATGCTCAATTGCTGAACTACGTTGAATGGCCGACTTCAAAACATGGATTTCTGCTGATAAATTCAGGATTGTGATCGATAGACATACTAATTTGTACTTTTCTGAAAAACTAAAAATCATACCAGGTTGATTCTTGCGGCAGTCTGTATTTATAGATTCTTGCGCACATTTCTGTTAAAAAACTTTTTTCTAGAAGCTTTCCTTTTCTCAATAACTGCATTTTATCAACGTGACGCTGTGACACACTTTTTTGTCAGTGCATTTTCTGGCCTCAGCGACCTCAAAAATTTTTTATTTTTGCCAGAGATCTTTGTATGTTCTCCTGATTAATGTGAAAATTGGAGCTGGAAACTTTTTTCACCGGCTGGGAACTTGCCAGAAACCTGGAGAGCTAGCTCTGGAAGGCATAGGTTTGGGTCCGAAAATTAGCTTTCAGAACAAAATCAGCCACTTTGTAGAGAATTTAATTCTCTGTCGAATGATGTAATTTTTTAACTTTTTAAACAAACTTTCTAGGTCAGAAAATCGAAATTAAACTTTTTAAAAATTTAAATTTAAAAATTTTTGCTGAGAATTAAATTTCATCTCACAAGAATATCCAATTTGTAATCAGCGTGGAAAACTGCATCTTACGAAATCAGTGATTATATTAGATTAGCTTCCTTTCCAAATCTGACGGTTAATTTGATCCATAAAGAAGCTGAAGAAACATTCAAATATTTATTAGATAGAACTGATGAATATGTGCAATTATATTATGACACAACGTTCAAAATCGGGTCGTTTTACTTATCAGTAAGTAGTGTTGGTTTTTCTTGATGTTTACGAACTTGTGTTCGCATAGGTGAAAACAAGTTAACTCCTTTTCTCCAAAGAAGAAAAGTACATTTACGAACACGTCATCGCAAATACACATTTTGCCTTTACGAACACATGTTCGCAAATGCACTTTTCTTCGTTCTGGATAGGAGTTGAATTTTGTTCGCCTTTATGAACATGTCTTCGTAAAGCTACTTCGCAAAGGGAAATTCATTTTCCTGTCTTTATACTCGAATTTTTTTTGCTATTTACGAACACGTCTTTCTCTTTGACGAATCCATTACAGAAATTCATGTTTTGAAGTCGGCCAATTAGCGTAGTTCAGCATTCGGTAAAAAAATTCAGCGTTTTAGTATTACCCTCGTGTAACGACAAATGGAGGGCATAAGTCCTCTTTCTTCTTACAGGCGCATTATATATGAGAAGGTAGCGGTCATACAGCAAGAAGAATGCACGATAGACAGAAAGAGAAGCAACAGAACGTAATGGTGATAAAGCGTTACAAATCGCTTTTGACAATGTCTAAGAAGAATCGACCAGTAGTGGCCATCGCTTGACCTGTTGAATCTTACATGACATCGACGTTCCCAATGCCGTCACTCTAATAATGTTCGTCGTAGGGCTCTATCTGGTTCCTTCTCGAGTTAGTCTAACATACTTTATTGTTGTTTTCTATCGGAAAAATAAACACTATTAAAGTACTTTTCACATCGGCTTTATCTTTGGTGCCGTTTTGCATGTTACCTTAATGTTCGATTATTGTAGCATATTGCGTATCATCTTGTTGCTAAATTTCAAACATGCCTGGTTCATCTATTCGCCTTGGTCTTATTGTAATATTGACTTTGTCAACGTTTTACATTATTGGCACAAAAGGCGACTCATTGTCTGACTTGGAATCGACTATCATTACTCATGGTGGGCAAGTACTGCGCGTAACCGATCCACAATACAAAAAGGCAGCTGGTCTTTGGAATCCAGCCATACAGATCTGGCCTAGCCTCATATTACGACCAGCAATCTATGACGATGTCGCATTAGCGCTTTCAACACTCTATTCTCTTAATGCGCCTGTTAGAATTATGGGCGGTCGTCATAGTTATGGTGCTTATTGCAGTCACGAAGGCGTCGTCCTTGATTCTGCACTTTTGAAAAATATAATAATTAACTGGCAAGATCAAACTGTAACGATGCAGGCTGGCGTGATATGGAGTGAAGTCTATACGGCTTTGGAGGGATCAGAATATGTAGTGATTGGCGGATTGTGTCCCACTGTAGGAGTCGTGGGTTATACAATGGGAGGCGGTTACAATTCTATGTATACTCGCTCGTTCGGATTGGCATCAGACAATGTTCTTAGTTTCACTGTAGCACTGTACAATGGAAGCATTACGACAGCATCATCGACCATCAATCCCGATCTATACTGGGCACTTCGGGGTGGTGGCGGAGGCAATTTCGGCTACGTTTTGGAAATGACGCACAAAATTCATCAGATCAACGCAACGAAACTACCATTTGGTCAGCTTTTGTTCTTTAACGTTACTTGGGTCAACCATGGAGACTTCACAGCAGTTCTTCGCAACTGGTTGACATTCTTGAAAGAAGTTGCTGATGTCGACACGCGCATCTCTTTCGATGTCATCGTGATCGTTGCACCCGAAAATAGCATTGTCATGATGTATGGTTCATTCAACGGACCACAAGCAGACTTTAATCCAGTGTTTGATCCGTGGCTATCGAAAAATCCAAAGCCAGACTTTTTCAACATGCAAAACTATACACTCACCGATATAATTAGAGTAGTGGGCGTCCCCAACAATCCTTTCCCGACGGAACAACGGCAGCATATCGTATCGGCTATGGCAATCAATATCACAGATGCTATGCTGGACGTTATTCTCGAGCCTCAGCCTAACTCCACTTCAGGAGTCTTTCAAGTGATGGATATTATCTATCTTCACAATTCGAATAAGGATAAAAACACAGCATGGCCTTTTTCGGATATTTCGTTTGACATTGCACCTGGTTTCGTTTGGTCAAAGGCGGAGGATGATCCTTTGGCAATCGACGTTTCTGAGCGCTGGCTGCAGAGACTGCGCAACGCAGCAGCACCTACACAAAGCATTGTGGGAGCATATCTGAATTATATTGATCCATACTTACCAGATTGGCAAACAATGTATTATCGTAACCATTGGGAACGACTCCGTGAGATCAACACTAAATGGGATCCAACATGGTACTTTCGATTTCCACAGGGCATTCCACCAAATAATCAACGTTCAAATATGAAAACTTTAAAAAATATGAAAATGATATGAAAACTTGAATAAGTTGAACAATAACTTCATAGTAGTACATAGCAATTGAGAGAGTGTATAAACTTTATACTATAAAGTGGCAGAAATAAAATTGCTGTGCGCTCATTTTGAGTTCAGTGTCTAAGTGAACCTGAGATGTATGGCCTAGCTTGATTGCATCATGTTCCTGAAGAGAAATCCGGGTAAAACACGGTGAAATTAGTGTCCCACTGCCTCGAGAAAAAGCGCGATTTCTTTGATCTGTTTTACTCTTATTCTACACGCTGGGACATGTTCAATTTAATTCTAATATTTTCAGCTCAAGAAAATAGTGTAGTTTCGCTAAATTTTGTTACATATGATACACTACGTCTTGCATAGTGTAACCATTGGTTCTTGGCGCCAATGAGAGCGTTGCTATAGGCCATAAGAATGAATTTTGCTATAAAGAGCCGAAAAAGTTCAAACAAAAATGGGTTTAACGAAACTTTCACGGTCACCAGAGTATATAGCCTAGATTATATCGATAAAAGGAAATCGAATAAAAACGCCGTCTCAGAAGTTGTTAAAACTCATTTGATTATTATATTACGATGAATATAAATCGTAAATAGCCGTAGTTGATACCATTAAGCCGATGTTTTTACTGGATGGGTGTTAGCAGCCATTCCGAAAAACAAGAAAGAAACCCACATGCGTTGTTTTCGTCGTAAAAAAGCATTGAGATACCAAAGAGAAACCGTAGACTATGGGTTTCTTTTCCCGTCCATACTACGTCTGATTACTAAACTCTACCCAAAGTTGCACTGTTGTCGAGTTTGTTGCCCTATAGGATCTCAAAGATAAGAGAACAAATGAAAGTCGCAAAACAATCGGTGTTTGGTCGAAAGAAAAATGACTTTGAAGTGAAAGATAAAAATTGATGATACTTCGTTGATTCTCATCGAAAATATCGCCGAAATTTACTTGGGTGGATCACCGTCTTCCGCCTTTCTACGTCTTTTTGTTTGTTTCAGTCGAACCAGGCAGTCCAAGTTCAATTACAGGTAATACTAACTTAGAATAAGGCCATAACAACTCTCGTTGCTTTCTTTATTCATTCTTTCTCTTAGAAACAGCTTCCGTCTCAGTGTTTATCAACCATATTTTGTCCCAATGGTCCGTGGTCACAAACACCTCTTACAATTGCAAATGGCACCGGTCAATCACATCAAATTGCTTTAGATTCCCAAGGTAACTTTTATACTGGTGACACGACAAACAGTCGTATATTAAAATATTTACCAACAAGTATCAGTGTGTCGTCGTAGTTAAAACAAACTTGACAAATCCTTACGCACTGTATATTGATCGTCCTTCTTCACTTACATCCTTCTCTTGTAGTAGACAACATAATCTGTCACATTTTACTTTTATGCTTCAAGATATCTTGGATGCTATTTCTTCCTTGAAAAACACCCCAAGTGTAGGAGTCGATAACATATCGTTAAAAATTATAAAATTATGCCAGTCGGTAATAGCTAAACATTTGCTACATATTTTTCATTTATCTATCAACACGGGTGTTTTTCCCACACCGTGGAAAACTGCTATTGTTTGCCCAGTGCACAAGAAAGACGACGTATCTAAAATCAGTAACTACCGTCCAATTTCATTATTGTGTGTTCCTAGCAAGATTTTTGAGAAGATCGTACACAAACGTCTTTCAACTTTTCTTCTGGATAATCGTATTTTATGCTCCACTCAGTTTGGTTTCAGACCATCGAGTTCGACTACTGATGCTCTACTTTATGTAACAAAATCATTATACGATAACTTAAATAAGAAAGGTCACTCTGTTGGCTTAAGTTTTGATCTGTGCAAAGCCTTTGACAAGGTGTCACATAGTACTCTATTGAAAAAACTAGAGTCTGTAGGAATAAATGGTCAACTTCATCAATGGTTTACCTCCTATATAGGTGGTCGGTTCCAGTATGTTAAGATCGACAATGTTCTTTCAAACCTAATTCATGTGAGCTCTGGAGTGCCCCAAGGATCGATACATGGCCCTATTTTATTCTTGATTTTCATAAATGATCTTACATCTGTCGCTTCCTCAGTAGCTATATATAGCCTGTTTACAGACGACTTATATGTTGTTTTACACTTTTCTCGCGCTGATCTGACTCCATTCATACAGAAGTCTATTCAAAAAGAGATAGATAACATTCTTTCCTGGTGTTCGGAAAACGAGATGAGTCCCAATGTCAAAAAGTGCTTCTACACCTATTTCATTTTGTGAATCTACTTTGCGTCAACTCTCCCCATATATGTAGACTATTAGAAATTCGTTGTCTTTTCGTATATAAGCAAGTATATACATAACAAAATATAAAAGTATTGACTATAATATGATATCACTGTATATAGTCACATGCAGAGTGCCCAAATA